ATACAAACTGAGTGATGCTGACTTAACAGGTAAGGAACCCAGCACTCAGAAAGGAGCCAATTTGCTAGTTAGCCACTCAGCTAGGTAGTGAAAAAGAACTGGATTTTAAATCAGGAAATCCAGTTTCAAAAACGCTGACTCTGACCACAGCCCTGCACCAAGTGAGCAAAGAGGTAACCTCCACCACAGTGATGCAGCCAGGACAGAAACTTCTTACCTGTGAAAATGACTAAGCTGGGGTTTTTAACTGTGGTGAAATTTCAGAAAGTTGTTGTTGCTACTTGCTAGGAATATGACTGAAGGAGAGAAATTTCAGTGGAAATCTGATCTTGCTGATTATCATCATATCATATAAAGGACTTTTAGAAATTCTCATTTATTTGGTATATGAACCAAATTAGCTATCTTTAGTAATAACAGTAAAGAAGAAAGAAAGGCAAAAAAGGAAATAAGCCCCACAGTCTTCCCAGACAAGACTCTATGGAGCTATCCTGGAAGGGAACCAGTGGGTGAGAATTTAGTAATCTTCCTTGGGTTTATGGACAGAGGTGGGAGACAGAACAGGGTAAAAAGGGGGAGTTAAGTGGTCAGTGCTTATATACGCTCCAAATAATCTGCTCCTGTCATGCTTCAGTTGTTGTTTTTGGTTTTGTGAGGTGGAGTTTTGCTATGCAGCCCACAGGCTGGCCAAATTTCACTGTGATCCCCGCTGCCTCAGCCTCCCAAATGCTGGGATTACAGGTGTATGCCACCATGCCTGGCTTCAGTTGTATTTTTGTTGTTTTTGTTTGTTTGTTTGTTTTTTTCTCCGGTACCGGGAACCGAACTCACGACCTTGCGCTTGCCAGGCAGGCGCTTTTGCCGCTGAGCTAAATCCCCAGTCCCCTTCAGTTGTATTTTTAATAAGCTTTCTGATGGTGCTTTCATCCCATCAAAGGATGTGTGTGTGCATGTGTGTGCAAAAGCTTTACCCGAAATAAATCAGGGCTTCTCAAAAAAAGAGACATTCATAAAGTCAAAACGCCTCAAAACCAGAGACACAGATTCTGGCCGTGGGCTTCCCAGGGCCAGAGTTCCCCTGTTGCCAACATCAGACTTTCCTCACCTGCACTCGTTTCTCCCCCAGGTGCCAGTATCATTTGCACTGTTTACACCACTGACTTAAAGGTTCAAGGGAGGGGTCTGAGTTGAACACTATTTTCCACACACTTTCCCAATTATATGAAAGAGGAAGGATACGTTCAAAACCCTAAGAGCTGCTTGAAAAAAACCAGACTCAGTCTAGTGGTGCCGAACATATGGCACATGGGCCAAAGCAGGCCGCTTGTCTCATTGAAGGCTCTGAAAGGTTCGCCATCACTGCCCTAGCTGATTCCTTTGGTTTTGATAAAACCCAACCATGACCTTGTAGTCCTGTGATGCCTCAGTACAAGCGTGTCCTCCTTCCTCCATCTAGCGAGTGATGCACATGCTTGTGGTTCATTCCAAAGCAGTCTCAGAAAAGGGACTCTCAACACTTTCTGTTGTACCTCCTTCTAGGGGTGTGCACAGGTCTTGCTCTGGAATGTTCTTTCCTCCAGGTCAAATGGACTTGGTCAGTAAAACTGAGAGCCAGTTCCTTGAACAATGCAGTAAGCCTTTGGTGCATCTGATTGTTTTAAGGAAAAAAAAATAAACTATAGTAGCCAAGCGTGGTGGTGCATGGCTGTAATCCCAGCACTCAGGAGGCTGAGGCAGGAGCATTGCCACAAGTTTGAAGCTGGCCTGGGCTACACGGTGAGTTCAAGGCCAGCTTGAAGTACAAAGTGAGACTTTGTCTCCAAAATATATATATATATATATATATATATATTTATTTATTTATTTATAAATATATATTTATATACATACAAATATATATATAAGTATGTATTTTTAAGATGGTGAAGAGGAGGGGCAAGGAGGTAAAAGCACAGGGAGATGAGGAAGGAAGGGACAGGGGACAAGAAGAGGCCTGTGAAACCAAGCAACCTGCCTCACCAAACTGCACCCTCCTGCACCCCTCCAGACTCTGTCCCCAGTGCATGGCACCTCCCACCACTCTCCTCCACCACCACCAGCACCACCTACGCCTCCCGACACTCCTGCTCATGCTCCTCCCCCAGAGGGCTCGCCCTCTTGGCACAAGTGTGTCTGGGCCAGCTCTACCCAGGAAGTGGAGAACTGCGCCCCCCAGGGGAAAGAAAGAACATTTTGGTACTGGCTAGCCCTTTTTATCTGTGCCTCTGTCCTTTCTGTCACAACTCCTAAATCAATTTCTCCAGCCAGAAATTTCTCCCAGGACTTTCAGAGCAAGATCAGAACCGTAGCTGCCTTCCCCAGTGCCCGTATTTCCATCGCGTGCCATACCTCTCTTCGTCCCAGGAGCCCCATCTTTTACTCATCTCTCTTTCCATTGCCCAACCACCCTGCGCAGCTCTGCCTCCCGCCCTTCCCTTCCACTCTTGCCTTAGCTCAGAGCCTGCCTGCACGACTCCTGCCTACACTGCTGCCCAGGGCTCTGAACCACGCAACCGTGCTCTCCAGCCTTCCCGCTCCTCTGGCTCTCCCTGAGCTTCCAAGGGAAAGCTTCTGTCCATCCACTCACTGGCCTGTTTAAAACTCTGCACAGTGCCTGCCTGGTAAGCTCCAGTCCAGACTGACACTGCTATGCAAAGATCACCATGTAGATTCCAACCTCATCCCTCACGGCTCCCATCTGAACATTGCCCACCAGCCAGTCTAGAGCTCACACGGAAGAAGAGAGGCACCATGATTCTACCGGCATACACTGGCCAGTTCTCCCACTGCCTCTCTCCTCTCCATCTCTGCCTCGGAAACTCTACCCATGCTTCAAAGGTTCACTTCAGACGCCACTCAGTGTGCTCCATGCACCCCTCTTCTGAGTGCCCACAGCACCTGGTGGTCTTCTTGAGCACTCTCAGGGTTCTGTGCCACTGCAGTCATTTATAAACTTCTCTTACCCACTGTGCTCCATTAAGACTTTACTGAAAGATGCAGTAACCTGCTCTTCTATTGATCTCCTGATTATCTGAAATACTTGTGTACTAAGAGTATCCACATGTCCTGTGTACTATACCAATATTTATGAATTTGGTTTGGGTTGATGCATATCTGCAAAGAAATCAAAGGAGAAGGGTACTAACATTTGTTGAGCAACCACTGCATTCCAGGCAATTAACCATTCCACAAGTTTTGTTTCATTTTCACATAAATGCAAGCTTTGCAGAGCTATAAATAAAAAATAATCCAAATATGCCACATTCAATGACACTGGAAGCTTCTATAAAGAAATATCAGCCAGCTGACAATTCTGCACTTATATTTATTATAAGTGCTGTATAAAAATGGTAAGATTCAGGGTGTGAAAATTTACAAAGAACATGTTTTCAAAGAAAAATTAATTTGATCTTTATGGTCTCTTACTGTTATACAATGCCATGATATACACAGGGTAATTTAGTATTGGGTATATTTTATGGCAGTTGGTGCTATCTCATATAATGATACTGTTAACCATACTATTTAGCGGACCTGAAGATTCCCTTTTCTAATCATGCTGGTCTCTAGCACATACATAACTTCTATCACCCAATACTATGATACCAAAGGAACTATACTTACTTAGAGGTGAACATTTATAAATCTAAACACATAAGAAAAACAGCTCCAGAAATAACTCTTACACTAAAACAATTTTACAACTATTCTAGACTTACTTTATTCTATAAAATATAATCTTTTCAGATAAAAATTCTATCACAATGATTTACACAAAATATGACATTCTCTTGAAATGCCATATAGATCCCTTACCAGAATTGTAATATTTTTTGTTTTTAATTCCCCCCAATCTCCTACAGTCCCCAGACATAACAAGAGCTTAATTTAAGGCTTTAAAGATAATTATAATCACAAAAGATTATTTAAAATAAAGACATACAACTTACCCACGAAGAAGTCCGCAATGGCCAAGTTAAGAAAAAAATAATTACTTCGATGTCTAAGATTTCTGTCCACAATAAAAGCTAAAATGACCATGGCATTTCCTAACATTATAGCAATAGCTAGTAAGGACATTAAAAATGTCAAAGCAATTTTAGTACCTTGTGTTAAGGTCACTGTACTGTTATCTGCTGACATCTTATCAAGTGATGCAGAGGTTCTAAGCAGCAAGTTTACCCTGCCAGAAAGGTTCTCACAACTGTGTGTTGCCTAACCAGATGCCCAGTATATAGCCTTCTACTCAGAACAACACTTTCTGAATCTCGGGCTGATCTCACAGTACTTCCTGATTCTTGATAAGAGTTAACTCTGTGGTAACAATTTCCCTTCAGCTGACACTGAGAAAGTATTTTTTTAAAAAGGTAGTGAAATGTTTTACCCTGAATAATTTAATATGATTCATCCATCTTCCAGTGATAGAAAATGTTATATAACATCTATAAAATATAATTGTTAAGTTAAATAGGTACTAAGTTGGGCTCCAGTGAGATTCATTTTTATAATTAATTCATATCCAATGAAGGATTCTTTTCTGGCCATGATGTGGTGACAGGAGCTGAATTTCACTGTCCCTTCTGAAATCCAAAAGCTGGACAGGTATGTCAAGAAGCAGGCACAAAGGACCCATTAATGAGGAGAAAAATCCACCAATCAAAACTAATTTAGTACTGACACAGATTAGAGAATGTGAAAAGGCATTAAAATAATTGTCTATGCATTCCATATTTTCAAAAACTAAGTAAAGTGATAGAAGTTACTTTTTAAAGACCCAAATAAAGCTTCTAGAAATGACAACTGAAATGTCCTAACTAAAAATATACTGGAAAGAGTTAACTGCAAATCAGACATTGCAGGAAAGATTAGTGAATTAAACATAAACCACCCAAAATGAAACAAGAGATAAAAGAGAATTCAAAGAAATTAGCAGAGTATCACTAATCTATAGAACAAATTCAACTTACCTAAACATCGGTCAGATAGGAGGCTCTGAAGGGAAGGAGAAAGAAAATAAAAAATGTTTCAAGAGTTAATGCCTGGTCAGGTGTGGTGGTGCATGTCTGTAATCCCAGCACTCCTTCCGCCAAGGCAGGAGAGTCACTATGAGTTCAAGGCCAGCCTGGGCTACATAGTTAGTTCTTTCTGTTTAAAAAATTTTATTGATTGATTGATTGATTGATTGTCATTTTGAGACACAGTCTCACTATGCAGTTCAGGCTGGCCTTGCACTCACTTTGTAGCCCGGGTTGGTCTCAAACTCACAACGACCCTCCTGCCTCAGCCTCCTGAGTGCTGGGATTACAGGCATGCGCCACCACACCCGGCTTACAGGTAGTTCAAAGCTAGCCTGAGCTACATATCCAGGCTCTGTCTCAAACGAGAGAGAGAGAGAGAGAGAGAGAGAGAGGGAATTAATGGCCAGAAACATTCAAAATGTGATGTAAATTATAAACCAAGAAGTTCAATGAACCTTAAACACAAGAAACATGAAAACCACACAAGAAACAGCAAATAAAATTTTTCAAACTAGTATGAAAAGAAAAACCTTACAAGCAGCTGGAGGGGGAGAACACACAGCATGTGAATAAAAAAGAATATCAGATTCTCATCAGAAGCAATATAGGCAATGATATAGTGGTTGCAACATCTTTCAGGGTTGAAAGAAAAAAAAAAAAAACATGCCAACCTAGAGTTCTATACTTACTAAAAAGAGCTTTCAAAACCAAAGTGAACTAAAGGCTTTTTTGGACATGATAGTTAAGAGGACTCATCATCAAAAGACTTGCTCTATAAGAAATGTTAAAGTCTCCGAGGCCAAAAGAATGTGGCACCAAATGGAAATATGATCTATACAAAAGACTGGAGAGCAACACAAAGGAAATTTCCCTTGTCTCCCGATAGCCTGTAAGTTGCTAGTGGGAAAAGCTTATGTTTTGTTTCCCCTTGTTTAAGTATGACACACATCCACAAGTATATAAATCTTAAGTACATACGGATGAACTTTAACACAGTGGGCTAACCCACATCAACAAGCATTTCGCTGTGTACCTTTTCCAGCTTTTCTACGCTAACACGTAAGCGGTCCTGACGTCTAAAACCATGTTAATTTTGCCCATTTGTGTTGTACAAATAGAATTGTTCTGAAAAAATTATATAAAAACACTTCTTCATACATGTTCATCCATACAGCCTATATTTAGTTGATTAAATAATAAAGACATCATTCCATTCTGCTATAATTACCTCTGAAATTGATTAAAGGGAGAGAAGAAAAGAATGGATTAAATTTCCCCCTTTATCATTTCACTGGAAGTAGAACTGCTCTTTCCCACTTGCTGACTATAACAGGAGCCTGGAATTCCTTTACTGAATAATTCCAGCTAATATCTAATCATTCATTAACTATCACTTAAAAGCAGGAATCAGATCTTGATAGTCACAAAACAAATACCTCTGATTTCAGAATCCACATCTTTTTCAGCCTAAAATTTACTGGCAGAAAGGTATAGCTTCAAAGAGAAATAAAGCAGGCAAAGATTCTCATCACCTCAAACCATCCGCTTTAGAGAAATGAGCAAAAGAAAGTTAGAGTAACTTTGGGGAATTCCTACCTACAGCTCTGAGAACAAGATGAGATTGGAAAGAAAGGAGGCCCAGCCCTTCTCTTTTCCCTCTGATAGTGAGGATGGTATGATTGCACTGACCCCAGCACACCTCTTCCCGCCATGCCAAGGATCCCCTCAAGGGTGGTTTTCCCACCACCTCTAGGGCTATGTGCCCCCAAACAGGAGCCACTACGCCCCTCATACTCCTGCTCTCCATAGTGGTAGGGAAACCAACTTATAAGAATGAGCTTGCTCATCAGCACAGCTGGGTTATTAGATACCTTAAGTGGGTTATTAGATACCTTAGTCTGAACCCTTCCGGGCCGGTGGCCAGAGGATCTCAAAGCAGACAGAGTGTATGCATTTATGGGTTACCCCACCTACATAAAACTCTATTTGGAGAATATACTTATTGAGGTTCTCTTTAATAACTTTAGTGCTGCAACAATGCTAACAACTCTTTGCCTATAACTTGTGGATGCTGGACAAATTTTAAACGGGACTAGAGGACTTCTGACAGGGAATAGATAGCCCTGTTGTGGACATGTGTCATGGGGAAATACTATCTGTCAAATCATGTAACTGGAGAAAAGGAACTTGGGTGTGTTAACCAGAGACTTAGAACCCTGAAATGGCAGAGACACCAACTCTAGTTATGCTTCCATGAGAAAGGCAGCTTTTGTAGGGAGGGAGAAAATAATGATATGCAATTATGTCTGCTTTATATTATACTATTTATTACCATCTATGTGCCACATACTACGTGATGCTACTGTGTGAAAATACAGAAATCATAGGTAAGTTTAATACTGCAGAAGCTAATAAAACTTATAATAATGAGGTAGTTGATCAAATGTGTTGTGAAATTGAATTAAAACTCCTTAACATTATCTAAGGAAATTGGCTTAAAGAATTTTTAGCCTTGATGAATGATAATTTTATAGTTAATCTAAAATATGAGACAATTTGTGCATTTTGTACTGGTATCATTAGATTATTCAACTGTCTAAATCCATACCAACTCCTTTTAAGTCATTAAGAATGTTTGAAATTAGGTGCATTTTGACTTTCTATGTGACTATGTGACAGTGTAAGGCAAGTACTATAGTTGCTCTGAAACCAAGAGTTATCATTTGGTCTTTAAAAAAACCTTGGTCACAACTGGGGAGGGGTACAGGTGCTGCCTGCGCTGACAGTTAATTCCAGAAGGGCTAGAATTGTCCTGAGTTGTTTTTCTTATGTACTTGCAAGGCACTAACTCTGGATTAAGGCATGAAATGTATCAGTTAAGAGTACTGTTTCATAACTAAGTGTCTGAGGGATTTGGGGGCAGTGTTTCAGCTTTTAGCATTGTTTATTGTTACCAGTGAGATGGATGATTTGCACCTGGTCTTCCTCCATGAGACCCCAGGGGCTCTACTATTGAGGCGGATTACTTAGTAAGAACATGACAGTGTTACCAGCCAGGTACCAGAAACCCTGGGGAGATTCCATTTGGTGGGGGGTCTCTGGATTCAAAGTATTCCATACACATCAGTCCTAGAGAGAGGTAGCACACGGATGTGACCCCCACAGAAACAGGACATGCAGGTTGCGGGGGGGGGGCATTTTAGATCTCCACCATGCCCTTCGGCTATGTTGCTGGTCTTACAGCCAGCTGGCCATGGACCAATACCTCTGTAACTGTGAGCAAAAATAAACCCTTCCTCCTTTAAATTATGTTGAGGTCTTTGTTCTCAGTGATTAAAAAAAAACCTAATACAAAAACCACTTCCTGCTGTTTGAGAAAATGTGCAATGGGTTTGGGGTCATAAACAAGAATCCTAAAACCCTTTTTGACTCACTGCTCTTAGACATCTAAGGGTTCTCTTGGTCCACAGTCAAAGAAACTAGGCTACGTCAAACTGAATCACAGTGTTAAACCTCATAACTAAGTTTTTGGTCAGTTGACAATCAGTGTCAGATACATGTGTGATTACAAAATCTATGGTTTACTCATAGCTAAACTATGGGCTATAATGTGCTAGAATTTCTAGCAGAGATTGCTGAAAGTACCAGAAAGCTTGCCGGCACCATTACATCTGAATTGAGACCAACTCTGCATCTCATAAAGTCAACTTAGTACTGCAGGTAGCCAGTGAGTACTCAGCCCCACATCAGGCTCCCGCCTCTCCTCAGCAGATGAGACCTCAAGATCCAGGCCGCCTTACTGTGTCAGGAATCCCCAAGTGCACTCTTTTAGATTTGCTAGAATTTTTAAAAATGTATCCCATCAGAGTTAGGATTTAATACAGTAAAGAACACAGATGGAATAAAAGCAAAAGGCAGATCCCAGGAGAGATCAGGCAAAACTTGTAGTTGTTCTCTCCCACTGAAGCAAAATGAACAGGCTTTATTCTCCTAGCAGTGAAGTGTGACAGACCCACACTAAGTATTACCAACCTCAGCCCGAGGGACACTCACCTGAGCCCAAGTGTCTAGAGTATTTATTGAGGGTCAGTCATGTAGCACCCACAAGGCTGAACTTAGTTATCCATCTCCAGCCTTTCCAAAGATCAAACTGCTATCACATGTCCCAAGACACCACTCTAAATCACTTTGTGAGCAAAGG